TAAAGTGAATCTGGATGAAAATAAAAAGCTGCTCCAGGATGAGATGTACTGTACACCATCTGCTTGTATGAATTCAGGACGTTCTGAGAGGAGAGGAGATAGTACAACACCTCTTCACACTGGTTTATCTATATTTAAGAAATGGGGTTTTTAGAATATAATGGACAAAATGTTTAGAAAATCAGGACTTAAGTTGTATTTGATGCTCTTAAATGTAAGCCCAGATCTGTAGCTTTTGATCATCCTCAGAAAGCACCTGGAGACTGCAATCTCTCGATTAGACAGGCTTTCACTCACACACACACACACACACACAGGCACACAGATTTCCGACTCACTCATCTGTAAGAGAGCAACATGAGCAGCAAACGGACAACTGAGCTGCAGGGAGAAGAAGAAGAAAGAGGCTTCAGTAGGTGTTTGCAGCACAATTAGACCAAAACGAGATTTTAAAGCTTCCGACAACCAATATGTCTTTACGCTTTGTTAACGATTTAAAAAACATACGTGTTGACAGCAGTGGCACTAAAAACTTCAGTATACAAATTAGCTGATTTAAATTCATGAAGGAATAGTTTTAGTATTTTGGGAAATACGCTTATTTGGTTTCTTGCAGACTACTGGGACATCTCAAAGGTAACCAGCAGCTGGTTAGCTTAGCTTAGCATAAAGACTGGAAACAGGGGGAAACAGCTAGCCTGGCTCTGTTCAAAGGAAGGGAAATCTGCCTGCTAGCACCTCTAAACACCTTTAACATGTTGTCTGTTTAATCTGTGGGTTTTAGAGGGATTAGTGGTAAATGAGAAAATGTTTGTGGGATTTTCGATTGTTTTGTTGTTGTGTTTGGAGTTTGTCATTTAGGTAATCTCAACCTTTGAAGCCAGCATTACGATTGACCTTTCATCAAGAGCAGCCTGCCAAATAATTTAATTAGTTTGAGTTTCACTGAAGAAGGATTTTATGACCTCAACAAGACAATGAATACTTAAAATGTTTGGTATTAAATCGGAAATAATATATTTTTTTCAACTGAATATATGTTGGAGGCTTCAACGTAAAAATGAAAGACATCCGATTGGGGTATTTTTTGACAGTCATCTTTCCTCTTTTACATTTATCTTCCTCATTTTGGCGCAGAGTAAATGTCGAGTGTGTACAGTAGAAAACCGTGAGATTACACAGCGGTTACACAACAACTCAGTCCATGCTGCGCTCAGGTGTTGATGTAAGGCTCTGATATTTCCGACCCAATAACCCAAACACACACACAGATATACTCTCATTCCCTCCAGTTCACTCTTCTTACATTTCACACCCATGTACCAAAGCCCTACATTGTGTTACGTAACACATCCCCAGTAAACCGTGCTTCCTCCATGACCCCCCATCTCCTGCCGTCTCTCCTTCCCCTCCATCGCTCTGCGTAAGAGCGGTGGATTTTGCCCTTTTCATGCTCACTGCTCCACTTACTTTGCAGCACAACATGGCCGGAGTGATGCTGCTGCTGCTGCTGCTGCTGAGAGTGAGAGGACCTCGGGCTAAACAGCAGCAAAACAAATTCACTCTTACATAACAGGCTCTGCTGCTGAATTACACACTGGACAGGCCAGCGAGCAGAAATTAAGAGGACGCAAAACGAGGTTACAGCCAAAGTGTTTGTGTCTGGCACAGGAACCGAAAAGAATCCACCATCTTTGCTGATTCTGTGGCAGCACACCATTCTTTTGAATTCAAAGGATAGCTTTATTTTTGGTTTCTTGCAGAGAGTAAGATGAGTAGATTGATGCCACTCTCACATTTCTGTCTTTAAACTTGCATTCTCTCTAATGGCCATCAGGGGGCGCCTCTTCTGATTCTTCAACAGTAATTCGATTTAAAAAAATACTATAATATAACTGGAAAATGGGAAAAATAACAGACTGATTTGTAGTCAAACGTCCTCCAGACAAACAAACGTATCCGCTTTATCCCGATGATCTCATTTTTGTCGGTGAGGGTTCGGCCACCTCAGAAACACATCATGCTTTCTTTTCATGTGGTGTCTATTCAGAGCCTGAAAGATGTCGCTGGCTGTCTGCAGAGGAGACACACAGAAGCGCTGTGTCTCACAAGTTCCCAAAGTTAGAAATCATCATCTCATTAGATGACATGCACATCGCGCTGAGCTTCCCGTGGCCACAGCTGCCCCACAAATTGTGTTTTAGATAACTCGTGAGATGAGCTTCATTCCGTCTTCAAGGAGAAGATAATTGGTATTATGATAAGAGAGTGTTCGGGGCCCTGCAGGTTGAGTCACAGGCTGCCAGTAGATGAGTTCAACATTACGCTCCTTGAATCTAATAGAGTTTTGGGGACTATTATCTTGTCTTGGATTATTTTTTTCCTTTTATCTTTAATAGTGTTTCGATGTGCAGTTTTGGTTTAATATGAAGCCAAAACATTATAACTTTTGGAACATCTTATGTATGCAGTTTCATTCTCCATCTAACTGCTTCTTTTAATGGACGGAATCTAATTAAGGCTGCAACTAACCTGTTATTCTCTTAATCAAACAATTTATCCTTTTTCCACCAATATTTGCACATATATGCAGTTTTTCTTTTAACCCTTTCTGGTGTGGCACTGGAAACAGGGTTAGTTAACAGTAAAATGTTTCAGTGTTTACTTCTTCTTTCACATCTGTTACTTATTCAGTCTCTCTTTCAAACTCACAAACCAGAGTTTGTGATTGTTGGAACAGTGGAAAGACTAAAAATGACAGCTTTGAGTTTCATTTAGTTTCTGTCGTGTCCTTCGATGATCAGCAAAGTAACTTCACTGTTAAAGTTACTGCTGTCTGACTGGAGTCTGGTGTCTCTGAGGAGAGCGTATTAATTGTATGTTTTGTACGTTATTGAATTATAATATTTGTCCAATTCAACGCTGGTCACATGGCATCGCACCAGAAAAGATTAGTATGTCCACCCGGTTGTCATGTGACCATCAATGCAGATTACTGCAGAGTCGTTTGTCCTGGGCATAAATGCTGATTGTAACATTTCCCAATAAAGACAAAAGCCAGATTTCAGTATTAGTGGGCTTTTTTGTCCAGTGGGAAAAGAGCTTTAGATTAATCCTCTGGGGACCATGAACATTTGTGCCAATTTTCAAGGCAATCCGTCCAAAAGTAAAGATATTTTTTAGTCTGGATAAATGCCAACACCATGGCTGAAACAGAGAAATGATTACACCTTTAAATAACATCGATTTATTATTGGCACACTTGCAGTTTTAAATGATAGGCTACCTCTGGAACACGGGGTCAATAAAGGAAGGAAGGAAGAGGGCGAAAACATATCTGTCATTAGATTACAAAAACATGTGACTCAGTGAAGGAAGAGGAGGAGGAAGACGGTAGAATATTTTTTTTCTAGCAGCAAATGTTGGTATTAAAAGCTGGCAGGCGTACATGCATGTGATAATCACAGAGCACTGCTGGTGCTGCTTCACGGTGCCAGCGTGATTGTGCCGAGGCTCTTGGAGAGCTCTGGGGGATCTGGGAAGCCGCCATGAAACCAGAACTGTGCCAGAGGAGAGCTGGAGTAATAAATTGTTCAGATTATCACAGGGAGTTCCTCCAGAGGTTATATCAGCTTCAATTTACAAGGCTTCTGGAGGAAGAGGAAGTGAAGAGGTCGGAGATGTCTTTCATCCGTATACGTCAACCATCAAACACATGTGTGTTCCTGAATGTATAACTACATCTTTCTGTCTGAGAGGCCTGCACATTGCACTGTGCACTGTGCACTGTTACAGGCTTTGACTTGACGTTTCCTCTTTGCACAGTGCAAGACTCTGAATCTTTCATGACCCTTTCCACTTCCTTTTCTGCACTTGATGACTTGCAGTAGATGAAGTAGTGAATTAGTGCAGGAAATGGTGGCCATACATAAGAGTCAAACAGCAGCCGTCTCCTCCAAAGCAAATTTTCGGCAGGATAGTCGACAATGAAAATAAGGGTTAGTTGCGGCTCTCTCCACCGATAGAAAGGTTGTATAAAGCCTTTTGTGGCTCCAGACGGAGGTGAGGGGAATCTGATGAATTACCTCAAGTGATGTCACTTGAGTCAGTGTTGGTTTGGTCTGAAGACTACAAGTTTGAAAATGTAAAAAAAAAAAAAATCTGTTGTGTGGAGTTAGAAAGACTTGAGCTTAGACCTCTGCTCCTCATTTTTGCTCGATTAGCCGCTACAAGCATAACACACCTGACTGAACTGTTGGCAGTCAAGTTGCATTGTGGGTAATGTATGTGCCAGGTTTTAACAGGGAAGAAGAATGTATGAAATACATTTTGTAACCATGGCTTTGTATCCGCGTCTTTCAGAAGTGGCAACCGAGAAAAAATAAAGCTTCAGAGCTTATTTTGCAGCTTTTTGTAAACATCTTTCTTGTTTTTTACTCACTTTTAACTTATGTACTGACAGTCCCTCTAAATATGCAACACTTTACAATCAAATAAACAAGTCTACCGTTTTCTAGATCCCAAATACAATGTAACCTTTAAGTTGTTAATGTCTGTAAGACAATATTATCACCGGAGCGTGATCCATGAACCCCAAATTGCATGTGGTCAGTAAGGTCAGCTGGTTAAGTCAGCATCAATGTAGATTTGCTATTCCAATCCTTGCTGATTGGTTTGTGATGGACCCTCGACGTGGACACCCAAATGGAGTAGAAGTGAGCATGGAGAGGGTTTAGGGGCTGGATTGGAATTTGGCTGATATCTCTGGTTCTGCTCCATCGATCTACATATTTTTGAAACTCTCCATCATGAGTCAACATTGTCACAGGAGTGCAATGCTAAATGAGTGAAGGACTCTTCTTAAATATGACATGCACAGATACCATCACATTTTGACATCTACTTCCACTCTCACTCTAAGCACACATGCTCTCAAAATCACGTAAATCACGACCTGATCGCCTCAAGCGCTGGTTTCGATTCTCTAAAAGTCCACTCACCAAGTCCTTCGACGTGCCCAGTCTCTTGAGCCCGTCCAGGGGCAGGAGGTCAGCCGAGTCCTTGTGTGAGAACTGGGTGGCCTGCTTCAGACGCCTCTGCTGGTGCAGGATGGCTTTATCCCGGATGGCTAGATCGCCTTTCTTCGCCTCACTCATGGTCTCGGGACTCAGGTATTTTTTCTGGTGCTGAAGCACAGAAGCACTTGAGACTGTAACCTCTCTGCAGCAAGAGACAGAGTGGTTGTCCGCGTGCAGAGGATGAGAAACCCCCAGACAGCTTCTTTTTCTCTTTTTTTTTAAGCTGCTCTTTTTAAGGCACAGAATAAACCTGCAGTTGTTGCCTCTTCCACCCTGTCTCTGCCCTCTCTGAAATGTCCTTCCCTCTGGGCTCGCTGTGCTGCCTCTTCCTCTCTGTGTGCAGTCCTCGGCATGTATTTGTCTCAGCAGCTTTAGGAGCTATTGTCCTGTCCTGGATGCTCCTCTGATGTAGACATGCATCTTCCTCACAGTGTCAAGATCTGTTCTGTCTGCTACAGAGGCTGTGGTGTAGGTGTGACTGAGAGTGTGTTATTTCCCCTCCCCTCAGTGCCGTCTGTCCTTGGATCTCTCTCTCTCTCGCTCTCTCTCGCTCTCTCTCTCTCTCTGACACACTCACATCTCTGCTTTCAAGTGTATTCTCTCTCTCTCTCTCTCTCTCTCCCCTCTCTGAGCCCTCCTCTTTCTGTCACACACTCTACAGACTCATGCTCACCTCCCAATACAGAGCACATTTTCTCACTTGGCTCTCAGCTAAATAAAAGACTGTATGCAGTATATAGAACATATACGCTCTGCTATAAAGCCACGGACATACTGTCATCTATGCAGCTACAATATAAAAGCAGATTCTGTGCACAGTTTGCAGTATTAGTCCCCTGAGCAGTGGAGGTGTGAGAGACATCTCTGTGTTGTGACCCCGCTCAGAGGATCAATCACTGATGGCCACGATTGATTTCCTCTCTGCCTCCCGAGTGGCAGCCGCCGTGAATTAGAGAAACCCAATTTTCAACCATCCATCCGTCTTTTCACACCAACAAAAGCTAAAAATATCAAATCCATCTGCGTTCGTGACCTCTGGACGATGACACATATTTGAAACTGCGATGATTCAGCCTGCAGGTGGAGGGTGATACCATCAACTTTGATTTTAATGTTTCGTAGCATTTTAGGTGTTTATTCTTTCAGCAAATGCACGTTGATGCTAAAATTGAAGACACTTTTTTTTTAAATATATGCTTCTTATTTGAAGGAGAGATTCCTTGTGAAGGAGAATCCTGCTGATATATTTATTTAGAAAGCTTGTGCTGCCCTCTGCTGGTCACCTCTTTTCTGCAATTTTTTCTGCAATTAAAAGGAGCTAAAAGCAACATCACCAAATGTTTTCTTTAGCCTGAGATGCATCAGTATTCATGTTCTGTCAACACAATGAAGTCATAGAGGGACTCATGCAGCCTTTTTTGGAGATGTGATGTTGGTATCAAGTGTTTTGATGCGGTTATGTTATGAATATTCCTGTGAGAGGAATAGATTCAGGCATGTTTGATGACTTTGCTCATGTGGGATGGTATTTTCCAGTGTTTATGAAGTTTTGAGGACTGAGGACAGAGTTTTATATTACTGTAACATATTTGGGTTTTGGTTGGTCACAAAACATGCAATCTTAAAAAGTCATCATGGACTCTGGGACATTGTGATGGACGAACCGTTGGAGACAAAAACTGAAAATGCAGTAATGACTCATTATAAAACAGGACAAATAGCAAAACAGACCTCTGAACATCGTCTTTATTATCATCATGACCTAAATTCCCAAACAGATAAAAGTAATGCAGAGAGAATCTGAAATCCACTGAATCAAACATTGAAAGTGCTGCATTTACATGAAACTTCAGGATTTCAGAAATAGATTTTTGCTTTGAGGCTCATTTGTCTGCACACCTCTGTTCTTTAATCAAGGAACTGATTAGTACCTCCGTGAACACAGAACCTGCTTCAGCAGAGAGAACACAAGGAATTCAAAAACAGCAGTTTTGGTCAGTTGCTGGCAATGTAACAAAGTCTTGCATTTTGTGCATTTTTTTTTTTTTTTTTGTACCAAGTTCCATTAACTGAGGTTGCAGAAGGCACATCGTTCATTTCATGGAATTGCGCTTTAAGCTTAGTTTAGCGTATCTCTGGATAAATAAGACAAAGTGTACACGCAACACATCGAGCTCCCTCTGAGCCACTTCTCATCACAAACCACAACTCTCAAGGAATCTCTTGTACCCATAGAACTGGCAGTGTAAAACCAAAGCCATTGTTCGTGATTATCTGCTATGTTCAGTTCATAAAGACAGGAAATGTGTTTTGGTTTCAGAGATATTTTAAGGTTTGTAGTGAACTGTGGATAAACGGGTACACCAATGCCATATGTGGAGTGTAAACATTGGGAGTATTGTGACCCATAGATTTAAAAGCATGCTGTTATGTAGCCCCAGCTTGGTTGAGTGTCATTTTTAAACACTGATGGTCAAATTATATCCACTGTGACTGTAATGTTTAATACACGAGAGGCACAAACTGGGGCTGTTCTGATGCTGTTGACCTATGGGCCATGGCGCTTCATCACTCTTCATACTTGTCATTGTAGCTTTTGTATTTGCATCCACAGCAGTATGTACAATGTAGTGCGCTTTTCTTTTCTTTTTGTCGAGGCACAAAGGTCACAGGGCGTTCCACCTGGCAACCGGACGCTGCTCCCACTAACGCCACAGAGCCCCATTGTATGCGAGAACAAGCGAACCACACACTGGCCTATAGTAACGCCGCATGGCTTCCACCAGCTTTGAGTCTTTCTCATCAGCACTCTCGATCACAGCACGTTGGGGAGGTAAAGCGAACAGAGCAGCATGTTCTGACCCAGAGCCGGGAAGCGCCTGAAGGCCTCCCAGGCGTCAGAGAAGATGTTGTACTTGAGGAAGACGCGGTGCTCCAGGCTGGTGGGCAGGCTGACGTCCCGGCTCATGATGTAGATGCCGTCGTTGTGCAGCGTGCACGTCAGGTTCAGGCCCGACTTGGACGTGTTCTCCTTTAGCTGGACCCACTTGCCCGTGGAGACGTTGTAGGACTGCACCGTCAGCACGTCCTCCGTCTGGCTGGGACGCCGCTGCCGCTGGCCAAACTCCAGCTCGTGGGTGTAGCCGCCCACCAGGTAGATGGTGTCCTCCACGGAGAGCATCTGCTGCTTGCGGATGTGCGCCGAACATGTCCGAAACACCGTCCAGCTGTCGGAGGTGGGGCAGTAACGGAGGACACTTGTGTTCCTGTCTGTCAGACACAAAAAAGAAACACGTAAAAAACTCAAAGACTCATCCCGGCCTTTGTATATTTTCACTACTGACATCAAATAAGCAACATTGTAGCATCAAAGCACTTTAACCTCATGCAGACTTTTCCACAGTCTGCAGGACACAAGTGGCCATCATTGGTTTGTATTGTTTATAGCACTGTGTGTGATAGTGTGACTGTATACTGATTTCAGTTCACCTCTTGCAGTGTATCCACCCATGACGTAGATCATCCCCTTGCATTCGCAGGCAGAGAACTCAGCCAGTGGGTCGGGCATGGAGGACACACAGGTCCACCAGTCCTGCTCGGTGCTGTAACACTCCACTGTTCCCAGACTCTGGCCTCCCACAGCGTACATCTTCCCTTGCACTGCCAGCAGCTTGAAATTGGACCTGAAGGAGAGGATGCAGTAAGTGAAAACGTGACGGCATATAATGAGATATTTGAGAGGAATCTTTATACCTCTTCTGGTTGAGCGGAGCCACCTGGTTCCACTCGTTCCTACAGGGGTTGTAGCAATGCACCGCAGAGATCTCCTGGCTGGTCATCCTGTAGCCACCGACTATGAACAGGTAGTTATCGAGGACAGCTGAGCCGTATCCTCTGACATTGATCATATCTGGAGGCAGGTTGTTCGCGAGCGGTTTCCAGCGCTGCTCCACCTCTCCGTACCTCAGCATGGACCAGGGTTCATCCCGATCGGGCATGTCCAGGGAGAGACAGGTGAAGTCTCCGATGGCCACCAGGGTGGCGGTGCCTTTCATGCGCATCTCCCGGACTTGCTCTCTGACAGCAGAGGGGAGGCTGCTGAACTCCGGCCGCCTCAGCATGGGATGATAGTAGCAGCTCATGTACTTGAGACACGCGTGGCGCAGATCGTGAGTCCCGTAGACTTCAGAGAGGCTGTACAGCTCCACGCAGTTGTCCAGCCGGATCTCCGAGGTGAGGAGCTTGAGGATGGAGGTGACCTGCAAGAAGGAGGCGGTCTCAATCAGGTCCTCCAGAGTCTCGTTGACAACCTGGACCTTGGAGGTGTTGATGAACTCCAGGACCAGCTCCAGACCGGGCACGCTGAGTCCCTGCAGCTGCACCGAGTCCTCCGTGGACTCCCTCATCCCGGAGCTGTACAGTGCACGGAAGTAGTCGCTCTTCTCTATCAACTTCTTTTTATTCACCTCGTAGATCTTGTCATCCATGACGATGGCAATAATCTGCTCAGATGACATGGCGAAGCGTGTTGTTGTTGTTTTTTATTCCAGGTCTTTTTTGCTTGCCCTTTGTCAGCCTCCTCAGCGAGTCACTGTTTACATTTCACCGTTCGAGGGAGCCCTGTGGCCGGTCTATATATGGTAATGTTCAGCCCATAGATAGCCATGGAGCAACTTTCGTTAGCCGTGGAAGCTAACGAGCTACTTCCACAGAGATCGGCTGCCAGATAAAACTAGCCAGAAGTACATTTTCCTCGGATTAGCATTCTTCGACAGTCCGGTAAAAAGTCGCCCCATTATCTAAAGACGATAGTTAAATACTGTAGTTTATTCCTGACACTGGCAGTAACCTCTCTCATTGCATTTTATTAGACTTTTGCGGGGCAGTGTTGAGCTGTCAAATGTTAACTGTTTTGATTCTGCGCTGCATTTCACGTCACTTCCGCTTTTTACACTTCTTCGTGGGGATATTTTTTGGTAGAGCTGTTGTGTGCTGCTGCCACCTGCTGGTGAATGGAAGAATAGCTCCACATCGTAAAAGAATGTCATTAGACAACAAAATAAAAACACAGATTCACTGCAGCATGGGACATCATCGTGTAAAAGAAAAATCAAAATTTAAAGAAATAAAATCAAACTAGCATAAAAAACATAAACGTTAACATAACATATTTTCAAATTGAAGTTGTGACATGTAGATTTGGTTATTGCGTAATGTTTTATACCTTATATAAATACATATAATAAAAACATTGAATACACTCACTCATCTTACTTTTTCCATTTCCTTAAATATTGAATATTGAATACTGAATGTGGATTTATACTTATTGCGATGCACAAATCATCATAAAACAACATGGTCTTGCAAAATGTTAGTGTTAATCTCAAACTCGTAGTTATAATAAGGTCAACAGCCAGCAGGCCTCTTGTCTACCTCCAGCTGTCAATCAAGATAACGTGCGTTGTCACATTCTGTCGTCACTGTCTGAAGGTTTATCTGAGAGAGAAGTGAAGAGACCAATAATCCACCAGGCTGAGACAGATGGCGGAGCCTTCAAAATAAAAGCATACAGCTTGATATTCTTTTAAAAAGGATGCTCTAAGATTCGACAGCTTCACTAGTATCAATGTTTTAGATATGTAATGAAACATAAAGCAGCTGTTAACCCGCATATAGTTTTATTTTCCACTTTAGTAACGTCTAATAATGTTATTAAATGTGGAGAAATACTGTAAACATTATTAGCCTATGTACTAGAAATGTGTAAGTGTGTGCAGACGCAGATGAAAATGAGCGCTAAACATATTACAATACAGCAAATGGTAACATTCATGTTTAATGTTAGACGGTCTCTTAGAAATGACACAAACAAATAAAAAATGTTGGCACCTTTCTTTAAACAATGATTAGGCTACAACTTGCAAAAGCCTGCAGAATAAAAAATAAAGCCAAAGATAATAAATTATAATAATAGGACATAACAAAACTAATAACAGTACTACATTAGCCTATTGTACCACCACATCGTTTCGTTCTTCACATCTTTATTCCCACTCTTTATTCTAAGGATCACAGACACCGGCGTTTTAATTTGAAAGTCTGCACCAGAAGTACTATTTTGTTCACAATGTGTGTCTGGATGGTGGTGAGGGCGCATCAATGACAGGGACACCAACACACAAACACTCGCCGCTCGGCCTGTTTCATGTTTCTGGCTCCAGTCAGCCGACAGCCGGCTGTTTGTGATCTGAGCTGAGGATGCGGGAGCAGGCGTGGGCCTCCCGGTTCCCCCGCTGCCTGGTGCTCATCATCACCGCTCTCACATCGTGCGTGTCCTCCGACCTGCGGCCGTGTAGTGAGGTGAGAGCTTTAACCGTTATTACTGTTATCTCCTCATATTCTGATGCTACTTTAAAACACAAGTGTTTTTAGGAGGCCAAACGTTTCTTATTTTTAATCATTATTCTCATCTTTTATTTGCTATTGTTTGTCCCATATTTTAATGCAGTCATCAAATCGGGAAAATGGCCATGCATGCAGAATTTAACAACCACATTACATCCAAAAGGCTTCCATCCTAATGCACAATTACAATTAGCCTACAAGTCGTTTTCCATCTTTATATATTTCTCCATACCGAGAGGACGCTTGTTCTGCTGGCTTTCCATCCCTCCTCAGTGCAGCCTCCTGCCGGCCAGCCCGGACCAGGATCACCCGCTGATGGGGGAAGAGAACCTGGGCTTTTGTTGTCCATCTTTTTCATTTAGCCCAGAGGCAAAATGAGGATGTTACAGGATGTGGATGTTTAAATAACACAATTTATGTAAAAACTCATTTACGTTTTTAAAATAAACATCCACATCTTTACACAGTTTATGTTAAAAACAAATATCTTAAAATTTTTAAAATAAATTTGTCCACATGTTTACACAATTTATGTAAAAAGTAATTTATATGTTACAGCCAGTAGCTTCTTAGCGTAGCGTAGCTTAGCATAAAGCTCCCGGCTACCCTAACATGAAGTTTTTAAACCTAAACTTTGTATGAATGTCACAAACAGTATTTTACGTGTTAGTTATTGTGCTTTTTGTGCTATTTGTCGATTTTGTTGTTTGTATTGTATTTTAATCTTCGTATGCAAAATAACTAAATTCATCAAATAAATGTACAAGCTGCTAACACACCGTAGAGATTCATACAGATATGTAAAGACAAAGTAAAATGTACAATAGACCAGTAGTGTAAACAATAAACAAGTGTAAAGAGACTCTATGTTCAGTTGAATTCGGTCTTCTAGTGAGTTTGTACAGTGATGGTCTAATTTCCAGGTATTTCTTTGTTTTATAGATGTTTTTTTAATAGAGATGCTTTTGTCATCAAACATTCAATACAAAAATATCAGCAGACCAAAACGATTAGTGTCCATCTTTCCTGTTGTCTACACAAATCCCCAAAACCTCCAGTCCTATAATCTCCAGACTCAGAGGATGGCGCCTGTCATGGCGTCGAATTTTATCCCTCCGCTCTCGCTTCTTGTCATCAGTCTCTATGCCAACCATTGTGAGTCACATCAGCCCATGTGCTGTTTGTATCACTATCATCTTTATACCCCTCAACCGTTGAACCCATTAGCACCAGTCCTGTTGTTTGTTCACTGGGCAGCAGGTTGGCCTGATATACTGTACATGTTAATGAAGGACTCGTCCTCTCACATGGCAATCCAAACAGTTTGTATGTTTGTTTGTGTTTGGGGGAGGTGTACAGCATGAATGGTCCTTTTTGAGAGGTGATTAGTCATTTGCAAGAGCTCAGGCTTATCTGTGCGTCTGCAAACCATCTCTGATGAATTCCCCCTGTTCCCACAGCGTCGGTTCGTTCCTGTGATTGCTCCAGTGTAATTAGCTGATACAGATGTCAGTGCTCTGCTGCAGCCGGCATGGCCTGCTCCGCACAATCGGAGGATTCGTCTGCCTGGTTGAAAAGCAGGTTTCGGGGGGAGGAGGAGGTGGAGAACTGCCAGAGCGAGGCTTTGGACACGGGGGAAGTCGTATTAAAAGTGCAAACCAAACCCTTCTTACGGGTTTTACGGCCTTAATTCTGCAAGAATTGCATAATTTAGAAACCTGATTTAAAGTCAGAAAAGTGCATGACATTGAATATCAATATTACATCTGCTTGCTGTCCTCCTGTGTTATACAGCCACAAAATAGTCCACGTCTAAATACCACTATGGCTGTAAATATGATCTCAAATAACAATAATAATTTCAGACTTGGGCTAGCTATTTCCCCCTAGTTTCAGTCTTTACGATAAGCTAAGCTAACCAGCTGCTGGCTTTTTCTTCAAAATCATAATAAAATATGTGTGACAGGTGCGCCTGAGGGCTGCTGAACCTGAACTAAACTCCTGCACACTTTCTTTTTTTTACTACTGTTTTTTATATTTATTTAATACAATGTTTTGATCTACATTAAGATTGTTTCGACCAAAATATTGTATTAAATCATCAAATAATGGAGGAATAAGTGAAACAGTGCGCAGGAGTTTTATTCTTTATTTTATTCTAAAATACTTTTCTAAAGGGAAGTGATTCAATAAGTTAAAAGACAATAAATTAGCCGAGATAATATGATGTAGAATATAAAATAAATGTTCAAAGGCAATTTGAGGAAAGCGGGTTTATAACCTGTAATGTATTAAGTTTACTAGATTTAAGAATAATAAAAACACACTCTTGGTTCTCATCTTTAGCTCTTGTTTATGTGGAGATTTAAAGCACCTCATTGAGCTGCTTTGGACAAAATGTTCCTCTTAGCGGATGTTCAATCAGTTCGAATAATGAGCATAATGTCACAACCAGCAGTCCTTGGAAAGAAGCGACTCCACGGATAACCGCTGTCCTGCTCCTAATGGACCATTAGTGTTCGAGCGGCTCGGTTTCCCTGGTGATCGGGGTCAGCCACCACTTTTACCCTTGAAACCAGCTTTTATTTACATATGAAATCAGCTTCATGCCTGCGTGACTGAGTTTACTGCGCAGATTGAAGATGCTTTGAACTAATGCTAACATCTGCATGCTAGGATTCTCACAATGACGATGCTAACATACCGATGTTCAGCAAGTAGCAATGCACTGGACAATTAGAAACTTTCACCACAACAACAATAAGATCCTCGGGTCACATTTCTTTAGATACTTGCAGGTCCAGAGTTTCTTTCCTCGTACTCCCCGTCGATTCGGTACATTTCAGATTTTAACCCGTATGTGAGGAGCGTGTAAACTTTGATCCAGCACGTTAAGCCCCTAACTTAGGCTGACGACGAAGCAGCTTGAGAAGAAGAAAATTGGAGAGATGACGACCCTTCTGAATTTAGAAAAATGTAGGTGTTCAGTAGGCAACTTAGTCCCGTTTTATAGAATACGTAGAAACTTTGTCTTGACCGGTGTCATGTTTCTACCAAAATATAGTTTATAAAAATAGAAGACATGAATGTGTGCATCAAATGTAATTGTAATCCGTCCAATAGTTGTTAAGAGGTTTTACTCAAAATCACAAATGAGAACCTCACTGTGGTGCAAGAGGGAAATCAGTAGACTTCTATCTTCAGGTGACAGTGAATGTCTGTGCAAAATGTAATGATAACCTATTGAATTGCTGCTGAGATATTTCAGTTTGGAAGTGATCCAGTGGATGGTGTATTGATCCTTGTGTGTTCTGCAGACCGACTACTACTACCAGTACACAGAGTGTGACAGCACAGGGTCACGATGGAGGGTCGCCATCCCTCTCAGTCCAAGCTCCTGCTCAGACCTTCCACCTCCAACCAGAGGAACAGACTGCTGTAAGTACTGTGTGTGTGTTCATGTCTATATGTTTATGTGTGTGTGTGTGTGTGTGTGTGTGTGTGTGTGTGTGTGTGTGTGTGTGTGTATTCACATGTCAATATGGTCCTCTTTCCTCTCACCGTCTCACAGCTTTCTCCTGTCCGGCCGGGAAGTTTTTAGAGATGAGCACGCAGCAGTGCACGCCGTGTGTGGCCGGCTCTTATTCGCTGGGCAGCGGCCTCCGTTTTGACCAATGGGACGCCATCCCTGCAGGCTTCACCAGCCTGGCCAGCTTCTTGGACCCCGGGCCAAATGGAGAGGATCTTCAGACGTGCAACAGGTGACGCAGACTCCCACAAGCACTACCGTTCCCACTCGAGTGTACAGCCATTAAGTGTTTGTTATCCGTGATGCAGCTCATCATGGACACCACAGGGAGTGTATCTGGAGTCGAACCGCGACGAGTGTACAGTGTCGTTGGTTTACGCCATCCATCTGGAGAAAAAGGGCTCCGTCGCCTTCACCTACCAGTACCCCGACAACAACATCTTCTTTGAGTTCTATGTAAGCACCTCTAACTGATTCCTACAATATCATATATATTCTGATATTCATTTGCCAATATATCGAGGTAATGGCTTCCTAAATAGTGTTTTCACACTATTCTTAGATAGAGGACATTTTTAAATGATAGTGTCTTTAAGTTTTCATGCGTTCAAAGAATGACGGAAGCATGAAATGTTAAAGACGCTATTTGCCCAAATATCTCAGCTGATTTGGCTAACAGCAAACATGTCAACATGTGTTCAGGTCCAGAATGAGCAGTGTCAGGAAATGGCTCAGACCGATGACCAGAAGTGGATTAAAGTCACTAACAATGGAGAATGGGACACGCACACAGTGAGTATCTGACTCATTGTGTTAGCAGGGAAAGTATTACGATGTTTGTGTGCGTTACCCTGTGCATGTTTTCTTTGTTTCTGTTTTTAGGTGAATCTGAAGTCCGGCACGAACATCCTTTATTGGAGAACCACCGGCATCTTGGTGGGAGGGAAGATGGTCAAACCTGTGCTGCTCAAGAACATCCAAATAGAAGGTAGAGCAAAAACTCAAACACACAATAAGGCATTCAAGGACTTAACAATACTATCAATCAGATACAATCAGATATAAATTGCTCTCTGGAATTATTGCACACTAAATGAGACAAAACTGCTTTCAATTCAAAAGGTAAAAAAAGGACTTTGTGTGTGTGTGTGTGTGTGTGTGTGTGCTGCTACCTTATGTCCACACACGCGTCCAGGTGTCGCCTACACATCGGAGTGTTTCCTGTGTCCGGCCGGCTGGTTCAGCTCGGCGCCCGGCTCCTCATCCTGTCAGCCGTGTCCCAGCAACACTTTCTCCACAAAGGGGGCGTCGTCCTGTACAAACTGCCCTGAACACCACTACTCACGTGTGTACACATATTCCTCGTCCCTCTTACAGCAACTTACATGCAACTTGATAGAGCTAGAGCTGGTGTGATGCAAGATTTCTGAGGATAATAACATGCTACTCATTGTAAATAATAACCAAGTAAAAACAAAAATATTTAAAATTTGAAATAAATCCTTTAAATCGTTTATGTTCTGCCAACACGGACATGTCAAAAGACTTGTGTTGACATTAAAAGTGTTGCATTCTCTTCTGTAAAGTAAAAGAATAATATAATGGATTTACTAACCAACACACTCTGGTTGTTTTCTCTGTGAACTGGATCATCATTGTCTCCTCTCTCAGATGAGGGATGGGCAGAGTGTAAAGTGAGGCCGCCGTGCTCAGAGAAGGATTATTTCCAGATCCACACGGCCTGCGACAGCGAAGGGAAGGTCAGCAGCATCCACACGTTTTACATTTCACACACACACACACACACACACACACACACACACAGCCTCACCTTTTTAATACACAAGGAGACGCACACACTTACAAACAAACGCCAGAGTTTTAACATAGTATCTGATAAATTGTCAAAGGTAAATTGACAATTTGGTTGTTATACTTTCAATTTCTAGATTAATTTACCCAAACAAAGCAAAATATTCCAATTGAAACTCATTTAAAAATATAAAATATGAATATTTACAATAAAGAGTACGTTAAAACAAGTATGTTATTGAATCTTTGGTCTAATGTTTTCATTTAACACAAAGGACCTTATAATAAAACATGCTGTTTGCATTTATCCTTCTCACAAATTTCCCTAAAGCCCTGCTTATTCATACAGGAGGATAATGCTGCCTGTTTTTACTGCATCACATTTAAATTGCTTACAAACAGTGAAAGGATTTTGTCAGCTGTCTCAGGGCATTTCATCAGAAACGAGAGAAGTCTCACAATGTGATGAGAAAGGAAATGATGAACAACTTAGTGAACGTTTTTCATGTCATCTGATCCAAAGTCAACCTCCTTGGCACTCGTCCACAACCTTGGCCTGTTTTGATTCACATCTCTGAAAGCGCTGAGTCAGAGTAATGATTGTTCAAGAAGAGAAAAGAAACGTATCCCTCCAGTATTGTTGTTATGGATCTCAGTCTGTGATACTCCAGAGACACGCCATGTAAATCCTCTGACCTCTGTGGCTTTGTCGGTTACAGACGCAGGTGTTGTATCGTTGGGTGGAGCCGAAGATCTGTGTGGAAAACATCACGGCGGCCGTGGAGCTGCCTACGACGGTACAGAGAGAGCCCTGCCCTCCCTGCAACCCCGGCTACTACAACAGCAACAGCAACGACTGTTTGCCCTGCCCACCTGGAACCTACTCAGATGGCACCTACGGTAAACCTGCTCACACCTGGCATGTACTGCCACAGAGCCACTGGAGCTGCATTCATATAACCAGAGCTCTTTAATCGGTATTTATCTAAGGAAAGTCAACTAAACATCCAAACGGAGGCGACGCAGCTGTATTATCCACTCTTGTGCAAACATAATGTTTTATCAAGCAGGAAAATACTGTTGTTGTATCTTAATAAAGCTTTGGGGTGTGTGTGTGTGTGTGTGTGTGTGTGTGTGTGTGTGTGTGTGTGTG